CAGTTGTTTGGTCCCCTACACCCTTCAACCCTTCGAAGCTCTCACTCCGGAGGGTAAACCCTTTGAAGGGATTAGGGCGTAGGGATGAGCCCTTCCGAATGGAACGCAGGGTAGGTCCAGATCCAGCCCTAGACTTGTCAGTCCAGGAACAAACCTGTCTCAAAATAGACAATTTTGCACAATTTATTGCAACAAAATGTATTTTATTTTAATTTACATGTTTTATTCATTTATTTTAATCAAAATGTATTTTATTTAATTTCCTCATGTTTTAAAATGATCCTCTTTTGTCATTTTAAATTATTAGCTACATCCAAAACTATCGTTGATAATAAAAAATGTAATTAAAGATTCTAAACTTTGTAACAGGTAATGAAATTACAGCTCTTACAAATTTCTTATAGACAACTGAGGTGCCCAGAAAAGGTGAAGATGTCTTTCGACAAGAATGTGGGATCATGACAAAATTTAAAATAAAAATAAATAAATACTACACTGACTAATAATTAAATTAATGATCACTTTTCATTCACTGGAAATTCTTACACACAGGCATGTCATGGCAATGTTCATAGTATGTTGTTCTGGTTTTGAGATCACTCTGATCTAGACAACAGCACATTTTTTATTGAACTGTCTTTATGTTTCTCCATATTTTCCTTTTTAGAACATTAGATTAGGCCTATATTTGTTTTGTCTGTTTTCAACTCTGGTCTGAAAGACTAATCTCACACCAACTGTGCTATACAGTAACTGTTTAAAAATAAATGCGTATAGTGTTAGTTTCAGAAATATGCTGTGGTCAAACTTTATTGAAGATTGAGAGTTTTTACATCGTGTTTTTTTTTTTTAAGTTAAAGTTCATGTTGATTTTTTTTAACCAACTCATCTGTTTTGAAATATTCTTCATATAAATTGTATTTCCTGGAGGAGGAGGATGGCTTTTCATTGTAGGTTATTACAAGAACTGGTTTAGGTTCACTTCACTGTGGCAATGTGATACAAGAAAACTAACATTATTTCAATCCTGACAAATTGTAGGTTTAATAGCCTATACAAATATTTAATATATGTCGAATAATTCGAGGTATGATGGTGGGTCTGAAAAACTTTTTTGTAACTGTTTAGACCGTTTCAAATCCTAATGATATGTATCTTTTGAGCATCATGCGTGTTCTGAGTGCAGTCGATTCGCTCACGTACACAAACCCACAACGCACCGATGGTGCTAAAATAAGCGTTCCCGTTTTCTTGTTGTAAAAATGGACGCGGCCATTTGTACATTCTATGGGTCTGGCTTCCGGTCTCATCTGCGTCCACTCCGTCCAGCTATTTTTAGCTGAACAAAATATGTTCGTTTTGCTGCTTGATATTGAAAGTTGGTGTGTCTTATATTATTTTAATGTGTTATCTTAATTATGAACACACTGGTTTGTAGTAGGCTAAATTTAACATAGATCAACTTCAGTCACTGTGGCAACTTATGCTGGGAAACTAACCTGGTCTAAAGCAGGTTAACTGTCAGACTAAGCTGAGTTCCTCTAACACTGACCAATAGGAACACTATTATTTTACTTTTTTTTTTTTTACAGTTTCTAGCCAAGCAGAAAGGCTCTCTGGTTTTCTGACAGCTGTACCTTTGCAGAACAGATAGCAGAACATTAGAACATTACAATCTAAAATTGCTCTTTAAAGCATTAAAATAACTAAATTAAAAGTTAAAATCACTGAATTAAAATGAAAATAAATAATAAAGAAAATGACTTCTAAACTGCTATAAGAAACACACATTAACTCATTTGAGCTTAGTAATTAGTACTGAATATTGTATAGTTGTATTTTATATTTAATCTGTATCTATCTGTATTTTTGTTCTGCTGTTAGTGTTATCTGTATGCACCAAGGGTCTGAGAGTAACGCAATTTCAATTCTCTGTATGTATGTGCTGTACATGTGGAAGAATTGACGATAAAGCAGACTTGACTTGACTTGACTTGAACTAGCTTACATTTGATTTACCCATTACAATAGTCCCTTTAGTTACCTACTGCTATCATAAAAATACACTTATATGAAGGTTTAAAATTCTACAAAAGGCACATTTAATGTCCAACAACCAATATTTTAGCAAAATGTATATTTTACTCATAATTATTGCGCTCCTGTTCGATTGCGCTCAGTCTGTTTAGCACGCATGCTCGTTCACTCGCGTCACTTTCTAAATAGGCTAATAAAATAAGAAAAGTATAGCGCATCCACTAGTAATTATATATAAATGAATCGGTTTTTACCGATGCAAATATGTTAGAAACGGTGCATCGCGATATAAATGCCGACTTGTAGCCGATACACACTTTTTAACCCGATGCATCGCATTAACTTTTTATGCCGATGCACCGAGCGAATCGGGGAATCTTCCCATCCCTAATTCGGACGTGACTTGATGCCTTCCTGCCTTGGAATGCTGCCTCCGAATGCAGCATTTTAGAGTTTTCGGATGCAGCCCTTTTTTAAAGCTGCTGCCACAGAAAGCAGACGAGTGATGATCACGTGATCGTGTGTGGTGTAGCGATGTGCGTGCGTGCGCTGCTCCACTGTCATTTCAATGGTTATGGATGAAGAGCGGACACATTCTTAACACCATTTAGAGGTAAGAGCCACGCGGTTTTATACGTTACATTTGATAGAATTTTTCATATTTGTTTTTACATATTGAGAAGCACCAGTGTTTTTTTTTTTTTTTTTTATGTGCAGGACCATTTGAAAACAGGATATGTGTTTTCACATGTACCCTACTATATAACCTTATTGGCCATGTGTTTTAATTATCTAAAGCAGGAATGTTCCATTTGAACCTGAAAAAAAAACGATTTTCTCTGAAACACTTAATATAGCTTACAATTATAACTTTATTAATAACTGATTAGGCTACTACATTAGATAATCCTTAGCAGATCGTTAGTTCGAAAGTTGGCTGATAGTTGAAATTAAAATATCAGTTGATTTCTTCTCTGCGGACTAACCTTAATCCTATCTTCAAGGAACCTTATGAGGTTTTAAAAACAGATCTGAAGTGTTAAATGTCATATTTAACAAACAAATACAATAAAAAAAAAAATCATAATTTTTACTTGAGAGGTTTGGTATGGTTTGATTTCGGTGTCAGCAGTAAATAAAGGAGTCATGAATATTTAATGAAGATGTCAGTTTAATTTAGACTAAAAATATATATAATTTTTTTCTGCTCTGATACATTTGAAATGC